GAACATACGCACAGAAAAGGAAAATAGCGTGTTTCATATATTTCACACTATATAACAGAGAAAAAACGTTAGAAAGAAAAAAATTTCATTTCAAAAGAAAAGAAATGATTTTTGTCGCAGTTCTAATTTGATAGTGCATTTTCTGAAAAAAACTTATGTCTGAGCGCTGAAAAGAAAAAAAGTTGTCGTAAAAATACGGTGAGGTCCAGAACTTATAAAACACCTTTTACATGTTCCGAAATATAAAATGTATGGACTACGGCTGGTCGGCGTCACACGAGTCTGTTTCTTTTCATCATTTTAATGAACAAAGTTAGAAAGCATCTAAAAATGTCAATAAAAAACCGAAAACTATTTCTAGACCGTAACTATTTCTTTTAATATAGATCAGCCGGTTTAGTGACAGGACAATAGTTACTTTTCTCTTTGTTTTTACTGTTGTTATTTTACAATGTATAGACGAGTGATGGCTTTATCACAGTCCTTCTCTTTCTCTATTACTAATCGTTCGTTCAGTTATGGATGCTACTCACTCGTCTACTCAATAACATCTCGAGTAACGTCTCTATCTTATTCTCGTCTGTTTTCTCTCTTTTCTTTTTATACATAATTCTGATAATTTACTTAAGAAGAATAAAATAGTTGAAACAAAATCGAACGTTTAAAGTTGAACAAGGGCAATTATCAAGGAGGAATATTAGTTAGGCATTAGCTCCCTGCCTAATAGCCCTACCATATGCATGTGCATTAAAGTATGTACGAGAAAAATACACCTTTAGACTTCCTTTTATAAAGTAACATAAACATTTAATACTTTCGGGCAAAAAGCCAAATCTTTTACTTTTCTTACCCGAAAAAACGAGGAAAAATCAGCAATTAGGAGAGACGAAAACGAAAAAATTATGCATTTAAAGTAGAAAGTTTTCGCACACTAGCTTTCTACTTTCCATGTGTATTTTTCTTACATGCAGGTGTCGTGAAATATTTTCTTTACACGGAACAAAAACAAAATACTTCTATTCTATCAAAACAATTTTGTTTATGTTTGTTTGATTGTGAGCTTGTCCGAGAATGCGAGCAAACAGCTGATACGAGGCACATAGATTTATAGGAAGAAACGAGTGAGTGATGTTAGTATTTTTATTCTAATCATCATTCACACATATTGTTAGATCATGATACCTAAAGGATCTAGATGCTACAACGTCTTTGAATCTATTGCATTGATATGTAAAAGAACCATTTCCTTGCCAGGAACTGTATCTCTCATGTAGTCACTAACTCATCATGTCTTCCTGTGACATCATTGTTTATTCTGTATCGTGTTTTCCCATTCGTGTCTGAGTCGTCTTACATTTTAGAAAATAGTTCTTTTTAGGTTCTTAGATATTCATATGGTACTTATTAGTATTGAAAAACGAAAATATTGTGCGTATGCTTGATGGGCCCATATTTAGATTTTCGCATATTAACAAAGTGATGCTAGATAATACGAATACAAGCATTTTGAAAGTAGGTGAGCTAGGGTAACTTTTATAAGTGCCGGGCCATGTTCCTTTTTTGGGATAGATGACGTGACCCGCGTATGCGTGAGTAGCTGTTATTCCAGAAATGGGCCTGAAGGACCGAATATCTGTATGATTAAATATCTAAATATCTGTGTACCGGCGTAGTCAACTGACAGAAAGTAAAAGAAGGGGAGGGAGTACATGGCTTTGAGTGAACTGGCAGAAATTACTCTGGAGATGACATTCAGATATTCTAGATATTTAGATATCCATCTAGAATGCAGATACTCGGAAATTAGCATCACTCAATACAATCTCCATCAGGTCGCAATGCCACCGAGAACAGTATGAACAAACGTCCCCGGAGAAGTATTTTCTTTTCACATAAATCCCTTCGAAGATGAAAACATTTGTTGATTTAATTTAATTTTACCATTTTAACCAAACTTTCAAACAAATGTCATAGTTTCGAGACAAATGTTATGATGCAGCGGTACTCTTGAAATTTATTCAACGATGGCGCGAATGTCGAAAAAAATTGAAATGTATTTTCGTTCGACTGATTTCTCAAGTCCACATATGTTATTTGGCTATAGCAGATGATAAGTTAGAACGAAAGTTGCTTTCTCCACTCTCCTTGTATTTTAAACTTAATAGTTTTATGCAAAATTCCGGGAAACCATGGTTTTTATCTATTTCGAGAACCATTTTCAGAAATAAAGTATATCTTGTTTAAATAAGAAAAAAAGGAACAAAATCTACGATCTTCTGGGTGGCCGTGTTTCTAGTTCGACTATTCTAAATGGTAATTCTGTCCATTTCTTGCCAACAATGATATTTTCTCGTCCAGACTCTTTGTTAATGTACGAAAATTTCAATTGATTACATTTCAGTGCGCAAATTTCTTTCATATCCTTTCGATTTAAAAACTCTTGTGCACCACCCAGTTCTTCACGACATTGCGTGTTACCACATCGAACTTTACCTAAAACGACACAAACGAGAAAAACAATGCGAAACTATAAGTGTAAACAGACGCAAGTTTACCATTAATCTGTATATCTTTAATTTGTTTTGGTTCCAGCTTCAACTCGATTTCTACACGTTCCAAAACGTGTTGTTTCTGCACAAAATAACATGTATTTCGTCTTCGTAGCCATTCTAATTTTCCAAGATAGTAGCCACAGGAACGACACGATACTTTACCGTCGGGTGGCGTATCAGTCAGCATTGAACTAGCAGCATTCGTTTGTTCTTCTTCATGTTGCCATCCGTTCACGATCTCTTCCTTTAGAAAGAAGATAAAACATTTAAAAGATAACCATTTGGGAGCAGGACAGTTTTCATAGCCAAAAAACAAGAGGAAGGGAAAAACGACCACAAGTGCAGAGAGTTTGCTTAACGAGGATTTAGTTCACTAGACAGGGTCAATTAAAAACAGCTTTTGCTCATCAATGAGGAGCAAATCTACTTTTATAAACTTCTTTTTATTCACTTGTTTCTTCGCGATATTTTGTTTCAATTCATCAGGCGACATTTGCTTCCATTCTTCCAAAGCTTCATCCATCTGTTTTTCTTTCAAACGATTAATCTTTTCTCGCATGTAATTTTGTGAATCTGTATCGATGAATTAAAGAATCATTTCATAAAGACTGAGTATCGCTTAGAAGGCACGATAAATAAGGTATTAATGCTCAACCGTTGGCTCTGAAGTAGACGAAAGTGCACGTTACCTGACGTTGTTATCAAATAATATGCACTGTTCTGCGTCCGGGCTCGTCCTCTTGCTTGCACTGTACCAATTTCGCTTGATACAAATTCATACCGAACGACATATGAGCACTGTGGAACATCCAGCCCCTCTTGAACAACATCTGTTGCAACCATCACGTTACACAAGCCTATACGTAGAACGGATCCTGTTAGGTACACACCGAAAAAAAGAAAAAGAAAATTACCTTTTCGAAAATCTTTCAATGTTTCGTCTTGTTCATTTATGGTTTTTGTGAAATCGGTTCCGCTTTGTCCTACTAACCAACAAGGTTTTACAGTACCCTAGGGGAATAATAAATGGATTTATTTGTTAAATTTAATAGCAGTAGGTTTTATTTACTTTCATATCTTCACGATTTTGCAAGTAGTCAAATACGTTTTTTGCATAGAATGTGCGTTGAACCAAAATCAGTCCTAGATAGAAAAGAAAGCTTCTTATAGAGATTGAGAAAAACTAACATAAAGAGTACCTCGTGCATCCTCTCGTTCTGCCGTATGCTTTCGTATCAGTTTTGAAAGCAAGTCTAATTTTGGATTCGTAAAATAAAATACACTTTCTTTCAGTTGTTCAATCAAACTATTCAACTTATTTTGACAAAGCTCATAAACTTGAATTTCAACCTCGATTGGCGTCTCTTTCTTACTAAAATAAAAACATTAGCAATTTAGTTAACATTTTAAAAGCTCAAAATTTGCACATATTTATTCTATTTCTAAATATGCTAGACTTTATCGTTCTAAGTTAGAGTCTTACTTGTAGAATGAATCTACGCGATTGATTAGATCTATTATCAGTGAGTTCAATGGCAAATCTGTTATTGCATCAAGTCGCTTTACCAGCATAATTAAATATTTAATCAAGATGACATTCGTGAATTCTCCTTTCTTCTCTGCGTCCTGCTTTTGTTCAACTAATTGTTGCTCAATATCGGTTGACGTGATTTTTGGTGAACATTTTTTTCTAATTTCTTTCATCAAATAGATGAGAGTCTCTTTGAATTTCTTTGTGTGCTGATCGAATGGTTTCGAATCAACACAAACAATTTCATCTTGTGTTGGCCGACTGATCTTTTTCTCTAGCTCCAGTAGCTGATCCCTTTTCGTCACTGCACTAATTGCCTGACAGTTTATTGTTGCACATAATTGGTAAAGATTAGCAATGGCTGATCCCTTTCGAACATCATCATCAGATAATGAATGAAACAGCTGCTGCATGTTCGTTATCTTAGTGCTACATGATGCTGTCATACCAATAATTCTAGGCAATTGATGTTGTTGGTAGTGTAACAAGCACTGTTTCATGATCTGAGAATACGGGTGACTCCCAATACAGTTATGACACTCATCGAATATCATCAAATCGATATCGGTCATTCGAAGAGATCGCTCTTGCAGTAGACAATTGAGAAATTTCTGTGGAGTACAAACTATGACATCACTCCGTCGGATATATTCGCTGACGAATGAATCATCGTCACAAGCCGAAACACGCAGATCGCCAACCGATTCAATGGCAAGTGCTTGTTGATCGCGTATGGCACGATGCGGGATAAAAAAAAAGGATAAAAATCGTTGTCGCGATGATATCATTTTTTTCATATAGTAATACTTGATGAGAAGTGCAGCCACGTATGTTTTCCCCGATCCGGTACGTACACATATGATGGTGTTTTTTTGGGATTGAATTACCGATTGTACGAGTTCAATTTGAAAATCGTACGGACGTTGTTGCAAATTAATTTGAGACAAGTATTTGTCGGACCACACGGGAGATTTTTCGAATATTCTCAAATCTATGCGTGCATAATCCACTGGTCGCTCCTGGAGATTCATTGCAGTGGTCGCGTAACTACGACGGTATTTTGATGTGTAGGATGATGCCATATCGCTTCTGTCTACGAATGCTGGAACAAGATCTAAAGGAGATACCGCCGGAAACAAATGTTGTCCCGAAGGATACAATATTAAGAATTTTTACAATGATTTTTTCAGAGAAAATCAGAGATTTTTCTGAACTTCATGATCGGGCAAGGATAACGCATATTATTATCACTTATTGAAGACAAGTTTTCCGTTTCCGGAAAATAATTTCTCAGAAATTTGTTTGGGCCACTTTTGTTCTTTTTTGGGCACTGAAGCATCGGTTCAAGAGTCTCTGCTAGGCTCAAAGGATAGAGAATTTCCTGTTCTACAATACACAATAACTTCGGTATTTACATAGTATTTCATTACCTAAAAAATAACAAACAACAAAGGCTAGTAAAGGTTACAGCTGCGATGGAAATAACCGACTTTTAATCTTTCTTGTGTTGGACCATTCTCATTACTAAAGAACATTCCAGTTTGCTATCTACTAGAGCTGCATAGTGTAACAATTCCGTTGTTATCTAATTCATCTTCACTGAAAAACCGACATTACTCTTATCATTTTTTACAAAACCGAAAATGTTTATTGAAGAAGTTGTAAGCTAACATAGTATGTCTTTTGCAAGTAATTTTCATCATTTTAATTCATTGCAATCAATTTTCATAAGGTGCCGGAAATTCAAAAGATGAGCACTATTTTTCAAGCATCTTTTAAACCTTTAAAGATTCGGTAGAAAACCATTTTATTTTACAGAGTAGGCAGACATGACACTTTCTTTCTCTGAACAAAACCTTTATTTGTGCTGTTAGGTGAACTGCCAAAATTGGATAAGCAATAACAGAAGAGTGAGCCGTAGACAATGTAACTTTCTCTATATTAGGGCTGCTACATTACTATTACTTTTTATTACTATTACTCGGTAATTAGTGATAAAAATGACAATTTTTATTGCTTATTACTTTTATTACTTTTTAGTTTTATAACTTTACAACAAAAAGAAGAGATGGTAATAAGAAAGTAATAAGAGTAATAAAAAATAAAAGTAATAACTTTCATTACTTATTGCTAAGTAATAAGTAATAACTAAAACGTTATTACTTATTACTAGTAATAGTAATGTGGCAGCCCTACTCTATATGTGTGAATGGGCTATTAATATCAAAGCGATGGTGTCTTATTTTAACGTATACAATTTACCTTTAAGTATCCTCCTCTTTTTTTGCTTCGGGGAAAATACCGACTCAATATTGCATCATTATTACTCATTTTATTTATCTCTTTTCCACAATCGAAAAAATGGGTCAGAGTATCAAATCAGTTGGACTGATCGTAAAAATAATTATTTTCCATCTTCATGGAGTCAAGATCACATGTCAAATAGGAGAGAATCTTATACTTTAACTTCGAATCAATCCTTTCCTGAACGTTCTGAGGATACACAATTCTTTTATAGAAGGGGATTTTTTAATACGAGCTGTGAGTCACCTAACAGCACAAATAAAGGTTTTGTTCAGAGAAAGAAAGTGTCATGTCTGCCTACTCTGTAAAATAAAGTGGTTTCCTACCGAATCTTTAAAGGTTTAAAAGATGCTTGGAATTCAAAAGGTGAGCACTATTTTTATTCCAGCTAAATCGTACAGTATTCCAA